AATAAATCTTTGAAGGGAACATTTCACCAGTTCGTGGCTCGACAACAAAGGGAGATTGTGATCATAGAAAGACGCCTAATAAAGTAATGGTAGTGAAAAGATGGCCTGATTTCCTTCTTTAGTCCTCACCATTCTCCGACATTTCACCTGGTCACAGAAAATGTGCCCTGAGCATCAATCCCCTGGCCCCACCTGCCGGTGGTGAATGAGTCCTGAATGTGTCTGGAGTCGGATTCAGGTTTTTGATGCTGCAAATACACTTTCTCAAACGCTGCGCGCTACTGCATGCACAAAAATAGACGGCCGTATGAGATGGAGAGGCGACACTGAGTTCTTTTAGCCTGATAAATATCGGATGTATAAGTTGTAACAATGCCTGCTCCAGCAGAGAAGAATAAAACTTCTATTGCTCGGTCTGGTTGCTGTCTTTTCCAGTACATGTTGGTATAGACAGTATTCCTCAACGTGCATCTAAGTGTGTGCGAATCTCCTGCTGCAATCGACACGATGGATGGCGACTGTTTCACGTCAGAGGCGAGAATTCCTGTCGAGGTTAAAGTAGAATAGACTCAAATTTCTAACAGTAATTCATGAGGACAATGGTTGCGTTTAAACGGAGAAATTCCAATGATATGAAACGTCTCAATAATATAACATGTTAAAACAGGTTAGAAACTTTTTGTGTTATTTTTTACTTAATTGTCGATCTACTGTTAAAATTCATTCTATCAATTGTTCACCAAATCAAGATCCAATACCAGCAATGTTTAATGGTCTGTATATATGTTTTCTTTTTATTTTAAGGCGGTGTTCCAAGTTGAAATTTTGGAGTAGGACCTGCTTTTCTCTGAAAAATATGTCGTCATCGTTGTTTTGAACTGAAGAGCTCAGTTCTGTTTAACATTCTGTGTTCATTATGAATCTTGTGGAAGTGCTTAGCTCTCTCAGCAATGACACGTGAATTGTCAGCCTTGATTTCCATCTCCTACTCGGATCTGGAGTGAGAGTCGGGCTATGACTTTCTAACCCCAATAGAGAGTCCTACCACATGAACTACAGTGTATTTGACATTGCATTCTTCAATTCAGTGTGACTTTGATTAACCTGGATAGAATACAAACATCCAGATGAGGAAATAAACTTCACTGAGCATGTTCCAGTCGTTTAATACTCGCTCTGACTGTGAACGGATTGCAATTCAATGACAGTTGTGAAGGCAGTTTCTCTACTGCATCTGATTAAATGCACCACAGCCGGTTCCTATGTCATTTCCTTGACACCATTTCCTGCGAAACCTAAGATCCATCTCGCTATAATTTTCAATGAATTACTGGAATGAAAAATGGCAGGCGCGTTTAATAGCAGGGTTCAAATTTCAAGAGTGATTACATATTTTGGACAAGCAAATGCCGTTCTTAAATTGGGTCGCCAGTAACAAGACTCCAGACATTGAAGGTGATGGAAGATACGTTCCTTGAAGTGTGAATTGAAGATGAAGAGACATTTTTATACATTGACATGCCCTGATCTGAAACGTATTGTCTGAAAGCGTAGTCTGAGCAGAATAAGAGCAAATGTCAAAACAGATTTGGGTAAATCCATGAAAAGGGAAATGCCACAAATGAGAGAGAACACATGGGAGGATGTGTGTAGCAAGATAGCTCGGTAGTTAGCACTGCTGCCTCACAGCATTGCAGACCCGGAATCAATTTCAGACTCTGGTGCCAGTCTCTGTGGAGGTTGCATATTTTGCCGTGTCTGCATGGGTTTGTTCCGATTTCCTCCCACTGTCCAAAGGTGTGCAAGTTAGATGGATTGGCCATGCGAAATTGTCCATAGTGTCCAGAGATGTGTACGTTTGACTACCCATGGGAGATGCAGGGTTACTGGGGTAGGTTAGCGGGGTGGAATGTTATTTGAGAGAGTCGATGTAGAGTTGTTGCGCTGCATGGCCTGTTTCGACACGGTAGGGATTCTATGACATGGAATGAATATTGTGACAAAGTGTAGGGACTATAAATATGTACTGAAGTTGATAAACCAGACATCTCAAGGGGAAACCGGCGTTAACAAGGTAGAGGGGATCAGTTCTTTAATTCTTTCTTGGGATTTGGTGTCATGGCTGGGCTAATATTTAGTGCACATCCAGAATATATAAGGGCGTCGCCAGCATAGCCAGCATTTATGGCCAGAAAGGCAATTCAGAGGCAACTGCATTGCTGTGAATGTGGTGTCACATGTAATCCAGAATAGGTAATAGGACATTGGTGAACCAGTTGTGAATTGCCAACAATCGACAATTAATTCACGTTCGTTATTAGTTTCTGGGTTCTTTTTTTTTGATGAATTCAGACTCCAACATCTTCTGAGGCAGGATTTGAACTCAGGTTCCCAGAATATTCCTAGGTCTCTGGATTAACGTCCAGCAATAATTACACGAGGCCATCGCCTGGCGTCGTCCTTGAGAAGGTGGTAACGAGGTGCCTTCTACAAATTCGTTGTCTATTCACTCACGGTTTTGCAGTAGTCATGCTTTGATCGGCCATTTCAAGCCCAGCACTACTGCTGTGGGTCTGAAATTAGATTTACTGCAGACCTGGTCAGGAAGGCAGGTCTCATTCCAATAAGTGCATCAATGAAAGAAATATGTGTATCTGAAATGCAATTACAGTTTTGTGATCGCAACGAATGAATAAGCTTTAATTTTTTTTTGTTGTTAAGGCATATTGAGTTACTTGAAACAGATTTCAATGATACATTTTCACAGACAGTATATAATGACACGAGGAAGGTAATACTGGGAGGGTGTTTTCACGTGTGCAATGAATTGTGCTGATCTCATCTGAAGAGCTGACATTGATAAGAACACCCTGTTTTAGAGGATCATGGGCTTTTGTGAAATATGCAGCGTTCTTGGGTCAAAGTTCTCCCTTGTTCCAAACAGTGAGACTTATTACACCAACGTGTGTGTGTGTGTTTCTTCAAATTACTTCACTGGGCATGGGCTGAGGGAAAGAATGCGCTGTCAGGGAAGCAACACAGAGGGAATGCTGCGCTGCTGTTTTGACAAGTGAGATAGAAAGGAGTTTTCTCTCAAATAAACGATTCAATAGCTTGAGCATTGCTCCTGCATTTCTGCTTCATTGTAGGTTTGGACTGAGGTGAGACGTATCCCTGAATGTCGCTGAGTGATTTACTCGCCCATTTCAGTGAAGATGAATGGTGAACAGCATTGCTGTGTTACTGGATTTACCTATAGACCAAATCGAGATGTTCCATGTGTGCAACCATTTATATTGACTCTTAGAGCACGCTGTCTGAGTGAAGTTCCTGAAAGCAGACTGTGCAATTACATGTAAAGTCGATTTGTTCCAGTGCTCAACGTAGGGAGGCTCATTACACCATTGTTTCATAGAATCACTACAGCATGGAAGCAGGTCAGTGGGCCCAGTGTGTCGACACCAACCCTCCAAAAAGCATCCCACTGAGATGCATCCTCCTATCCTATCCTGCAAACCTGCATTTTCCATGGCCAATCCACCTATCCTGCATATCTTTGGACTGTGGGATAAACCAGAGCACCCGGAGCAAACCCATACATGCACAGAAAAGCCCACAAAGACAGTTGCCTGAGGCAAGAATTGAACCTGGATTCCTGGTACTGTGAAGCAACAGTGCTAAACACTGAGCAAACCTGCTGCCTTTTGACTGTGTGTTTCTTCAAATTCATTCACTGGGGGTGCGCTGAGAGAAAGAAGCTCTGCCAGGAAAACAACACAGAGGGCACACTTATCTGCCTGTAGTGCACTGCTTGCGAGTAGAAGCCGAAAGGAGTATTCTCTCAAGTAAACAATCACATAACTTGACACTTGACCTTTCCCTTTTGTTCGCTACACCACAGTGTTGAAATGCCTTCATGAGTGATTGGCTTACGTGCCCATTTCGGAGAGGATTGGTGTCACAAGTGGACGAGATCAAGGTAAGAAGTGTAAATCTGGGTGTGAACCCGTAGAGAGAGATGTCACCAGAATCGTGTAGGTAGAAGCATTTTTTTGGTTGCACCAGCAAGGGATGCATTGGGATTGAGAGACATTAACGTGAGTTTTGTGAGTGAATGATTTCCTAACATTTTAACAGTCGAAGTTTTTCATCAATTATAGCATCCCTTGGCTACTATTACCCTTTGACTGTTTTAGGGTCCCATCAAAATTGAGCATGGGTTATTAATCTCTCTACTGGAGAGAATGAGGAAAATATAATTAAGTTACAGCATGAATCTGTTTCTTCGCCTGCCAGATAGTGAAGTCACATGAGTCTGAGCAGAATAAATAATTAGAGGGTGTGAATTCGCACGGATGCATTGGAGCAGATTGAAGTCTTTGAGAATTTGGTGAGTGAAGAAGATTAGTGTGAAGGGGAGAGAGGCGCTGTTTTCTCGTCGCTATTGTTCCATCTGATGCAGTTTCCAGGACACCAGCAGGTGCCAAATTGCTCAAGAGGATTGATTCCAAACGAAAAGGAAAGAATCACAACAGAGGCTGAGACAGACGTGCGGGAGAGATGAGATGCGCGGGTATCCTGGGTACAGAACATGCATCATATGAGAGACTGTGAAGTGGCTGGATCATTTGCAGATTTGCAGAATAATACAGGGGTCCTTCAGGGGAGATAGTATCAGGCTGATCAGAATAATGAAATGTTTCCTCGGAGTGGACAGACGAAGCTCATTTCAGTGCTACAAGGGATGGTCATCAGCCACACAGATTTCCACAAATTTGAAAAGTTATTAGCTGATGGGGGGTGGAGGGGGCATTTGAGTTTCAGGAGGGAAGAGGGTGAGCAACTTGTAATGAACTTTAAAGTATGGCTGACTGAGAGTAGATTTTGGAAGCCAGTTTACTAATGACATTGGAAAGGTGATTGAGTAAAAATATCAAGGGAAACAATTTCCTAGTTCATAGATCAACAACAAGGGGAAGTTAAGATCGCCACAAGAGTCCTTAAAAAGCGCTGGGAAAGGAAAGAAAGGCTGAATTGCATCTTCTGCTCTTCCGATTCTCTGATTTCGAACGTGGTCGCAGAAATTGCGCCCTGAACATCAATCGTCTGTCCCCATCTGCTGGTGGAAAATGAGCCCTGAACGTGCCTGGAGTTGGATGCAAGTTTTTGTAACAGCAAAGACACGGCCTCAAACGCTGTGCGTTGCTACACGCACAGAAATACACAGCCGTTTGAGATGTAGAGGCGCTTGTCACTTCCAAATTAAATTGTGTTTCACTGAGTCGTTCGGCCTGATAAGACTCAGATGTGTAATTTGTAACAGCTCCTTTTGCAGCAGAGTAGAATAAAGCTTCTATTTCCCGGTCTGGTCGCTGTCTGTACCAGTACATAAAGCTGCAATCTGTATTCTTTAGCGTGCATTTGAATGTATCGTAGTCCCCCCGTGAAATTGACATGATGGAAGGAGACTGCTCCACTCTGGAGGCCAGAATATCTGTCGAATGTAAAGTAAAAATATTTCAAATTTCTTACAATATTTCTTCAGGACAACAGTTGCATTTAAGTACAGAACTTCCAGTAATATAAAATCTGTCACTGTAAAATTTTAAAGCATGCTATAAGCATTTTGTCTTTTGTTTACTTCATAGCCAGGTTACTGTTAAAATTCATCCAAACCGTCTTGCGTGAAGGAAGTTCCAATAACAGCAGTGTTTATTAGCCACTGCATATGTTCGTCTTAAAACGTTGTTCCAGTTGAAATTCTGGAGCAGGACATGCTTTTCTTTGCAGAGGACTTGGTAACGTTTGTCTCTAACTGAAGAGTACAGTTGTGTTTAACATCATGTGTTCACTATGAACATTCTAAAAGTGCAGAGCTCTCTGACTAATGTCAACCTTATTTCCAGCTCCATGATCTGGAGTGAGAATCAGGCCTGTTACATTCTACCCCTGATGGGCGAGCGGTACCGAGCGAACAACAGCTTATTTGACAATGCATTGTTCCCTTCACTGTTTGACTTTGACTAACCTGAGTACAGCACAAGCATCCAGGTGAGAGAGTAGACTTCACACGACATGATCCTGTCGTTTAACACTGGCTCCTTCTGTGAACGGAGTGAAGTCCAATGACACCTGTGAAGACAGCTTCTCCACTCTATCTGATTAAATACACAACATCCGGTTGCTATCTCATTCTCCAACAGCATTTGCTGTGAAACTTAAGCTCCACCTCAGTCTGTTTCTTACTGACTCATTGGATTGATAGATGACAGGGCGCAACTACTAGCAGGTCTCAAATTTCAAAAGGCATTACATAGCCTGGATAAACAAAGACCAATTACTGAATCATTGGATTAATAGACGATAAGGCAGTGTTAATATCAGGGGTCAAATTTCAAGAAGGATTATATACCCTAGATAACCAAAGACTAATGGTTAAATTGGGTTGACAATAAAAAGATCCCTGACATTGAAATGATGGAACACAGGTTGTTTGAAGTGTTAACTGTATAAGAAGAGTTTTTTTTTACACACCAAGATGCTCAAATCTGAAACGCATTTTTGATAGCGTGGTCTGAACAAAATTAGAGCAAATTTCAAGATTTTGAGAAATACATGGAAAGAGAAATGGCAAGAATGAGGGTGAGAGCAGGTGGGGGAGAAAAGGAATGAATCCTTGACAATATGGACGCATATCGAAACTGATAAACCAGAGATTTCCAGGAGAAATAATATTTCACAAGAAAGTGGTGACCTCATTAATTCTTTCTTGGGATGTGAGGGTCCTGACAGAGTTAACATTTATTGCACATCCGGAACTTTTGTGTTCTTATTAATTAACGGGGTAAGGTCATCACCAGACAAGCAGCATTTATTGCCAGTCTCTAATTGCTCAGAGGGCGTTCAGACACAACTATATTGCTTTGGTCGGGAGTCCCATGGAAACCAGAACAGGTAAGGACATTTGTGGGTCAGTTGGCTGTTTTCCAAAAATTGTCAATTGCTTCATGGTCATCATTAGACTTCCAGTTCCACATTCCTGTTATAGAGTCATAGAGCTGTACAGCACGGAAACTGAACCTTCAGTCCAACTCGTCCATGCTGACCAGATATCCTATGTAAATCTAGACCCATTTGTCAGCAGTTGGACTATATCCCACTAAACCCTTCCTATTCATGTACCCATCCAAATGCCTTTTAAATATTGTAATCGTACCAGCTTCCAACATTTCCTCTGGCAGCTCATTCCATACTTGTACCTCCCTCTGCATGAAAAAGCTGCCCCTTGGGTCCCTTTTAAATCTTTGCCCTCGCGCCTTAAACTAATGCCTTCTAGTTTTGGACTCCAGCAACCAGGGGAAAAGACTTTGCCTCTTTACCCTATCCATGCCCCTCATCATTTTATAAACCTCTATTAGATCATCCTTCAGCTCCCAAAGCTCCAGGGAAAATAACCCCAACCCAACCAGCCTCTTCCTACAGTTCAAACCCTCTGACCCTGGCAACATCCTCGTGAATCTTTTTCCTAAACTTTTACTGAATTCAAACTCCGACAACTCCCATTGCAGGATTGAACTCTTGTGTCTAGAACGTTCCTTCGCCTCCCGAAATAGTCCAGTGATGATACCACTGGGCCATTGCCTGCCCTTTTCCTTGAGAAGTTAGTGGTGAGATGCCTTCGCGAATTTTGTGGTCTATTCTGCCACTGCCTTGTCGAAGTGATGGTTTACTGGCCATTATAGGAATTATTTCAGAGTCAGCATTACTGCGGCGGCCCTGATGCTGCATTAACTGCACACCTGGCCAGGATGGCAGATCTCCTTCCCGAAAGGTCATCAGTGAAACAGATACATGTATCTGAAATTTAATCATTGTTTCCTGACAGCAATGACTTGAACAAGCTTTGCATTCTTTCCTTACAACGTGCAATTAATTATTTGAAACGGATTTCAATCGTAATTTTAAAAACTACTATGTACTGACACGAGGAAGATAATACTGGAAGGGTGTGTTCACAAAGAACACGGAATCGTGCTGATGTCATCTTCAGAGTGACTGACCGGAGCACTCTTATGGTCCCCTTCTGTTCTGAGAGATCCTGTGCTTTCATGAAATACACAACATTTGTCGGTCAAAGTTTTGTCTTGTTCAATGCCGTGACCGTTATTCCACCAATATGTGATTGTGTTTCTTCAAATCAATCAACTGAGCGTAGACTGGGGAAGTGCTGTACAATCGGAGAAATAGATAACGGAGAGGTCTGCTGTGTCGGCTTGCTATATTTGGTTGTGACTGAATTCGAAAGTTTTTTTTTCTTCTCATTTCGGGACCCTTCAGACTTCTCTAAGATTTATGTATCACTCTTCTGGAAAGAATGAGAAATATATAATTAAATTACTACATGAATTTTGTTCTTTGCCTGCCAGACAATGAAGCTGTTGTATCGCAGCAGTATAAATAAGAAGGGGATGTGTACTGGCGCAGAAGCATGGGAGCAGTGGTGGAATCATTGAGTTTGGTGAGTAAAGGAGATCTTTGTAAAGGGGAGGGAGGCCTTTTTTTTTGCTGATGTTGCTTTGGCTGTTCAGCGTCCAGGAGAATGGCAGGCGGAAAATTATTGGAGAGAGCTCATTCCGCACAAAGAAAGATTCAAATCAAAGAAGAACACCAAATTCATTGATTTGTGATTCAGTTCTGCAGGGAACATGAGATGTCCTGGAATCAGGGGAACAGAACATAATGTATATGGAGAGACTGGAGTATTTGCAGATTTTTCATTATAATACAGGGGATCATCGACGCGCATGGGCTGGAGGTCCTCAGAACAATGCAGCATTGCCTTGGATTGTGATTGCAGTGGAATAAAGAACAACAATTAGAGACACTGATTTTCTCGAATGATCATGTTGTGGGGGAGGCCCTGTGATTGGTGAAGAGATGTTCCATGTGAGCAACAAATTTATAATGTTCCTGAAAGCACAGCTATCTGAGAGAAGCTTGTGGAAGCAGATTTAATATAGTCATTAGAAAGGTGATAGAGCAAATATACGAAGCCAAACGACTCCCTCATTCATGGGTTAAGAAAAGGAGTGATTGACTGGAGAGTTCACTCAAAGTGCTGGGCATGCAAATACGGGCTGAATTCCATCCTGTGTCCTCACTATTCTCTGATTTTTAATCTGGTCACTGAAAATCTGCCCTGACTATCAATCCTCTGCCCCCCCCCCCTGCTGGTGGGAGGTGAGTCATGAACGTCCGTGGGTGTCGGATGCAGGTTTTTGTAGCTGCAAACACACTTTCTCAAACACTGTGCGCTACTACACGCACAGAAATAGACGCCCGTGTGGGAAACAGCGGCGCCTCTCAGTTCCAAAGTAAACAGCTTGTCGCTGGATCTTTTGGCCTGAAAGGACTCGTATGTGTAATTCGTAAGTGAGCCTTCACCAGCAGAGAAGAACAAAGCTTCCATTTCCCGGTCTGGTCGCTGTCTATACCAGTACATATTGCCAAAGCTAGTATCCTTCAGTGTGCATGTGAATGTAGCCGAATCTCTTTCTGCAATCGACAGGATGGAAGGAGACTGCTCCACATAGGAGGCCAGAATTTCTGTTGAATGGAAAACGGAAAACATTCAAATTTATTGCAATAATTCATTAGAACAAGGTCTGCATTGAAACTGTTAGCTTGCATTCACATAGAAATTATCGCAATTAAAAGCCATATTTAACAACATTAAAAGAACTGCAATAATATTTACTTAATTAGCTCGTCACTGTTAAAATTCGTCCCCTCCGTTTTGAGCAAAGCATGATTCAAAACCAGAAATGTGGTAAAGGCCAGTACATATGCCCCTTTCAAAAAGTTGTTTCATGTTGAAATATTGAAGTTGGACTTGCTTTTCTCCGAATAAGGCATTACAACCATTGTCACTTTCTGAAGAGGACAGTTCTATTTATCATTTTATGCTCACTGTGAACCTTGCAAAATTGCTGAGCATTTTCAGCAATTATGCGTGGAATGTCAACCTTAATCTCTACCTCCAGGATCAGGAGTGAGAGTCGGGTCTATGACTTTCTCATCCAGATGGGAGAAGTGAACTACAGGTCATTTGGCAATGCACGGTTCCATTCACGCTGTGACTTTGACTAACCTGGGGACATGGCAAATATCCAGATGAGAAAATAGACTTCAGGCAGCATGATCCTGTCATTAACATTGGCCGCCTCTTTGAACGGAGTGCAGTCCAATGACATGTGTACAAGCAGTTCTTCCGCTGCTTATGACTAAATACACAACATCCGGTTGCTATCTTGTTTCCTCAATACCATTTGCTGAGAAAACTAAGCCACACATTGGATTGATGGGTGACTGGGTGGTGTTAATAGCATGACTCAAATTTGAATAGCGATTGGATTGTTTCGAGAAGTAAATGCAATTCTTCCACTGGGATGTCAGTAAAACGAGTCCAGACATTAAAGAAAGTGGAAAAATAATTTATTAAAAGTGTAAATGGGAGCTGAAGAACTTTTTCTACATCGAGATGTTCTAATCTGAATTGCTTTTTCTGAAAGTGTGGTCTTAGCAGAATGACAGTGACTACACAAACAGATTTAAACAAATACCTGAAACATTAAACGGCAGGAATAAGGAAGTGTGCAGGTGGGGGAGAGGCGGACTGGATACAGTGACAGACTCGAGAGATTATAAGTACATACCGATTCCACTGTTAAACAAGAGACTTCAGTTGGCAAAGTGTTCACAGGAGAGTGGCGACCACTTCTTTAATTCTTTCCTGGGATTTGGGTTTGACTGCTGGATGAACACTTATTGCCCATTCAAAATTGACTTTGAGAAGGTTATGGTGCGATGCCTTCTTGTCTTTGTCGTTTATTCTGTCACGGTTGTGTGCAATTAATAATTTGTTTTCCGGGCCATTTCACAGGCAGTTTTGGACAGAGCCACACTGTAGTCGGTCTGGAGCAAAAGTAACTCCAGACCTATGTTTCCTTTCCAAAAGGAAATCAGTGAACAGACGAGTGTTATTGATACACAAAAGCATTTTCATGATCACAATGACTAGGACAAGACTTGAAATGGTGTTTTTATAATGTAAACCTAAGGTCTATCTAACCTCCAGCCCTACCTTATACTATCATCCATATGCCTATCTAATAGCCGCTCAAATGCCCCTAATGAGGCCGACTCCACTACCCTCTCCGGCAATGCATTCCACGCCTCTACCACTCTCTGAGTAAAGAACCTACCTCGACGTCACCCCTATAACTATCTCTACTCACTTTAAAACTATGCACCCTCGTAATAGCTACCTCCACCCTAGGAAAAAGTCTCTGGCTGTCCACTCTATCTATACCTCTGATCATTTAGTACACCTCTATCAAGTCACCTCTCATCCTTCGTCGTTATAAAGAGAAAAGCCCTACCTCTCTCAACCTTTCCTCGTAAGACCCTCCCTCCATTTCAGGCAACATCCTGGTAAATCTCCTCTGCACCTTTTCCAAAGCTTCCACATCTTTCCTGTAATGAGGCGACCAGAACTAGAAACAATACTACAGATGTGGCCGAACCAGGGTTTTGTATAGCTGGAGCATAACTTCACGGCTCTTGAACTCAATCCCTCTATTAATGAAAGCTAACACACCATACGCCTTCTTAACAACTCTATCCACCCGGGTGGCAGCTTTCAGGGAACTGTGGACATGAACCCCGAGATCCCTCTGCTCCTCCACACTGCCAAGAATCTTTCCGTTAACCCTGTATTCTGCTTTCAAGTTTATCCTTCCAAAATGAATCACCTCCCACTTTTCAGGGTTAAACTCCATCTGCCACTTCTCAGCCCAGCTCTGCATCCTATCAATGTCCCTTTGTAACCGAGAACAGCCCTCTGCACTATCCACAACTCGAACCACCTTCGTATCGTCTGCGAACTTACTAATCCACCCATCCACTCCTACATCCAAATCATTTACAAAAATCACAAATAGAAGAGGACCAAGAACAGATCCTTGTGGTACACCACTCGTAACTGAGCACCATGTTGAATATTTTCCGTCCACTACCACTCTTTGTCTTCTAAGGGTCAGCCAATTCTGAATCCAATCTGCCACATTTCCCCCTATTCCATGCCTCCTTACTTTCTGCATGAGCCTACTATGGAGAAACTTATCAAACGCCTTACTTAAATCCATGTATACCACATCCACTGCTCTACCTTCATCCACGTGTTTGGTCACATCTTCAAAGAATTCAATGAGGTTTGTGAGGCATGATCTACCCCTCACAAATCCATGCTGACTATCACGAATCAAACTGTGCCTATCCAAGTGATCATAAATCCTATCTCTCAGAGCCCTTGCCCACCACTGACGTAAGACTAACTGGCCTGTAATTTCTGGGGTTATCCCTATTCCCTTTTTTGAACAAGGGAATGATGTTTGCCTCTCTCCAATCTTCCGGCACTATACCCGTGGACAAAGAGGACAAAAAGATCATCGCCAAAGGCCCTGTGATCTCTTCCCTCAGCTCCCATAGATTCCTTGGATAAATCCCATCAGGCCTGGTGGACTTATCTATCTTCAAGTTCCTCAAAATTCCTATTACATCTTCCTTACTAACATCCACCTCCTGTAGCCTACCAGCCTGTTTCACAATGTCCTCCCCTACAACTAGGTCCCTCCCAGTCGTGAATACCGAAGAAAAGTATTCATTAAGGACCCCTCCTATCTCTTTAGGCTACATGCACAAATTCCCTTTACAATCCTTGATCGGCCCTACCCTTTCTCTGGTCATTCTCTTATTCCTCACGTACGTATAAAAAGCCTTGGAGTTTTCCTTGATCCTATCTGCCAGGATTTTCTCATGCCCCCTTATAGCTCTCCTAAGCCCTTTATTCAGCTCCTTCCTGGCTAACTTGTATCCCTCTGGAGCCTTTTCCGATCCTTGTTTCCTTAACCTTATATAAGCATCCTTCTTCCTCTTAACAAGTCGTTCGACCTCGCTTGAGAACGAAGTCTCCATCACTCGACCGCATCTTCCCTGCCTCCTAGGGACAAACATTTTGAGCACGCGCAGTATGCATTCCTTAAACAATGTCCACATTTCTATAGTGCTCTTCCCTGACAGCATCTGTTCCCATTTTATGTTACCCAGTTCTTGCCAACAGAATTATAATTACCCTTCCCCCAATTATAAACCTTACAATGCTGCATGTACTTATCCTTTTCCATGACTATTGTAAAAGTAACAGAGATATGATTGCTACCACCAAAATGCTCTCCTACCAACAGGTCTAAGACTTGGTCTGGTTCATTGCCAAGCACCAAATCCAAAGTGGCCTGTCCTCGTGTTGGTCTATCTACATGTAAGATGGAATGGCAGCTCTCAGTTCAAAACTAAGCAGCAATTCATTGTGTCTTTTGGCCTGATAACACTCGGATATGTACTTTCGAACCGCTCCTGCTATACCAGAGTGGAGTAAAGCTTCTATTTCCCCGTCTGGTTGCTGTCTGTGCCAGTACATGTAGCTGTGTTATTCAGCATGCATCTGAGTGTAGCCGAGTCTCCTCCTGCAATCGACGTGAAAGAAGGAGACCGCTCCAGGTAGGAGGCCAGAATTCCTGTCCAATGTAGAATGGAATCGAATCAAATTTCTGACAAAAAATCGTTAGAAGAGCTGCATTTGAATCAAGTGTTTGCATTGCAATCGAATGTGTCATACTCCAAAGCAACACATATAACCACATTTTCCTTAAATATCTAGACATTGTTAAATTTATATATGTATATCGAGATGCTTGGATCTGGAATGTAATGTCGGATGATGCAGTCTGAGTGGAACTCAGTGATTTGTGCTATCGCCTCATAGAACCAGAAGCCGAGGTTCGAATCCACAGTCGGGTGGTAACTGTCTGTGCGGATTTTTCTACATTCTCTGCGTGGGTTTCCTCGCACTTTCCATAGATGTGCATATTAGCTGGATTGACTGTGCTCAGTTGACAATTCTGCCCAGCGATTTGCAAGCTGGATTGATTAGGCATGGGGAATGCAGGATTACAAGAATAGGGTGGAGGGGTGGTGAGTGGATCTGGGTGGGACGCTCTCTGGAAGTTAGTATGAACTCGATAACCTGAATGGCCTGCACCCACAGTTGTAGGGAGTCCACGATTCTAACTTTCGAACCAAATTTGGATCAATGTATGAAAGGGGGCAGAGCAGGTGGGGAAAATAGAATAAATACCATTAAAAAGACTATTGGCTGTAAATCCAAACAATGATTGGTAAAACCGAGATTTCAGGGAGAGAAAAAAATGGAATTCAGAAGACAATGGGACAACTTGTTTAATTTCATCCTGGGATGTGGATGTATTAGTTATCCTAACATTTGTTGTCCATCCGGAAATGTCCTTGAGAAGATGTTGATTAGACACTTCTTGAATTGTTGCGCTTTATTCTGTCACGGCTTCGTACAAATGGCTTGCTGAGCCATTTCAGAGGAAATTCAGAGTCAACCAATTGCTGTGGGTCTGGAGTTACATGTACTCCAGACCAGATCAACATGGCACATTCTCTCTCCTGAAGGACATCAAAGAACAAGATGCATGTTTGTAATTCACAGTGACAGTTTCGTGATCAGTATGGCTAGATCAAGGTTGGAAGTTTTTTTTTATTTTAAAATGAGTTACTTGACATATATATCAATTGTACTTTTAAAAATGCGTTATATACTGACACGAAGAAGATACGACTGGGAGGGTCTATTGACAGGGTGCAACGGATTATGCCGATCCCATCTAAACAGTTGACATTGAAAACAAAACAGCCTCATGGCTCTGTTCTGTTCTGTAGGATCTTGTGATTTTGTGAAATATGCAACGGTCTTGGGTGAAAATTGTTCCACGCAGCGAGGCCCTATTCCAACAAAGCGTGACTGCGTGTTTCTTCGAGTTAATTCACTGGGCATGGGCCGAGGGAACGATGCAGTCAGAGAAGCAAAGACAAGGAAGCACTGCTTTGCTGTTTGGCAGGTGATGTTGAAAGCAATATTCTCTCAAACAGCGATTGCATAGCTTGAGGTTTGCACCTGAAAGTTTGCTTAATTGTGGAATTGGACTGCGGTGAGACAAATTCATGAAGGTTACTGTGGGGGTTACTAACCCATTTCAATGAAAAGTCCATCTGAACAGCATTATAGTGTTTCTGGGCCTATATA